TGGATCTCGAAAAGTTAGTTGCTCTTGGTGAAAAGATGGGTCTTTCTGGCGCCGAACTACGGAAGTGGGTCACCCAGAGGGAAAAAGAAGAAAAAGCAGCCGAGCTGGAAAAAGAGAGGTTGGCGGTCGAAAGAGCCAAAGCGGAAAAAGAAGCTGAGGTGGAGAGAGAGAGGTTGGCGGCAGAGAGGGCCAAGGAAGAAAAGGCAGCTGAGTTGGAGAGAGAAAGGCTGGCAGCCGAAAGGGCGAGAGAAGAAAGAGAAGCGAGGGAGCGCCAGCTGAAAGAAGAAAGAGAAGCGGAGATGGCTGAAAGGGAACGGCAGCGGCAGCACGAAATTGAACTCGAGCGGCTCCGTTTGCAACAGCGAAGCGAAACTCCCGTCCAAGCTAGAGTTGAAAGCAGCGAGCGGGAAGATCACGGCTTCCGCTTGAACCCAAGCAAGCTGCTCGTAGCGTTTGATAAAAGGAAGGACGACCTAGACGCGTACCTCCACAGATTTGAGACGATTGCGAAGAGCCAGAATTGGCCGGAACATCAATGGGCAACTGCTTTAAGTACCTGCTTGAGTGGTGAAGCGCTCAGTGTGTACGGTAGGCTGACGCCGACCGATGCAGCCAACTACGCAAAGGTGAAAGCTGCTTTGTTGAAGCGATTTAGATTTACCGTGGAAGGATTCCGGGACAGATTTCGGACAGGAAAGCCAGCTGATGGTGAGACAGCTACGCAGTATGCTGCCCGACTTTGCCATTATTTCGACAGATGGATTGAACTTTCAGGGACAGCACAGGAGTACGATGAGCTTAGAGAGCTGCTAATTAAAGAACAATTTCTTACTAGTTGCCACCCAAGCCTGTCGCTGTATTTGAAAGAGAGGAAGGCGGAGTCATTTGAAGGAATGCTTGAATTGGCTGATCAATTCTTGGAAGCGCAAGGTGGAACTAATTTGGCCAAGGTCAAGAAGGAGTGTCCCGATGATTCGAAGAAATTGGTTCCCGAAGAAAGGAAGCGTGCACCAGAGAGCATGCAGCGATGTTTTCTGTGCAACCGAGTAGGTCATCGCGCGAAAAATTGTCGAACGATCTTTACGAGCCCTACGGCAGTAAAATGTTTCAAGTGTGGTCAGACTGGGCACAAAGCAGATGCATGTCGGAACGGAGTGAGTCAAACTCACCAGGTATCCTGTGTGCAAGCAGCACCGAAATCTGATAATAATGCCGTCACTGATGGATTCGTAGAGTTGAAGAATGGGGAGAAAATTCCTATTGTGGGGGCTGTAATGTCAAAACAGCCAACCGGTGTTACGAAGGGAATGCCAACGCTTCCTGGAAAGATTGCAGGCAAGAAGATTACGGTTCTAAGAGACACCGGTAGCTCCACGGTTATCGTGAGGAGAAATTTGGTACGGGAAAGAGAGTTGACAGGCAGAACGAAACCGGTTTGCCTAATTGACCGTACGGTCCGTATGCTTCCCGAAGCAGAAATTGAGGTTGAAACCCCGTACTTCAGCGGGAAGGTTACTGCGTTAGGCATGACGACCCCCCTGTATGACCTTGTCATCGGAAACATCGACGGGGCGCGAGGGCCAAGTGATCCAGAATGTTTGGGAGAAGACCCGAAGATAGAGCCCTCGCCAACACAGCGGCCGCGAGATACAGTGGAGGAGCATCCCGTGACGGAGCTCACTAGAGCCCAAGGTGAAGCTGCGGCGCAAGAGACAGCGAAGGAGAAGACGATCGTGTCGAATCAGTTCACGGGCCGAGCAACCGGACGTACGTCGGCACGACCTCAACCGACTGACAGTGTAAAGGAGACGGAGTTGGCCAGCCGGGCAAAATGTAGAGGCATGATCAAGCGGGTAAATAAACAGACAGGACCCGTCGAATGTAATGACGCGTTAACGGTGTCGGAAGAGACAACGATGGCTGAGACGACGCCTCAGATATCGTCGTGGGAAAGGGCTCGCCGAAAAAGAACGTGGAAACACAAGAATAGATCGAGCGAGCACCGCAAAAAGGGGCGCAAGCGCTGTTCGAAGTACTCAAGATAGGTGCTGAGGTGGAATCAGAATGTGTTCGGCAGGGTTGAGTGACATATGTTGAGTTAATGTTCTTGTTATCCTGTGTCTCAAGTGTATGTCGAGTGAGTCAGTGTTCTGTGCGATGGTGTGATGTATAGTGTTGTATAATTGTTGGATAGACAGAACTTTGTACGTTTGTATTGTTTAGAATGTGTGATGAAGTGTTGTAGGCATGTACCTGTGGTTATATTTCATGTGTTGTGGAATTGAACTACAATGTACGTTTGTATTGAGTGATATATTGTGAATGTGAAGTGTCATGAGCGACGGATTGTGTTACAGTCTGTGAGAATGTGTGGTGACTGTTCGCGCTCGTCTGTGTGGTTTTTGAATATTATGAGATAATATTCTTAAAGTGGGGGGCAGTGTCACAGAACGAGCGCTAAACAAGAGCGCGCCGCCAAATACTTGCGACAACGGGCGGCAGAAACGCCGCGAGGTAAAAAGGAAAAAAAAAAAAAGAAAGCAAACATCCAGGGCTCCCGGGCGCGCGCTCTCCCCGCAGAAGCACGGCTTCGCAGACGATCCTCCTCACCCCACATCGGCGGCCCAGCAAGACCGCGATTTTTCTCGAACGAACGGGGCGGGGTCAGACCGAGCTGAGTCATCCGACGCGGAGGGCAGACAAACCGTCTCGCCTCTCCCCAGCCTTCGCTGCGTATCGCGCCGACGAAATGACGAGAAAGATCTGGAAAGTCGCGCGCAAGGTATTTAACCGAGCAGCCGAGACGAGAAATCAGGAGGTGACGGAAGTTAACGCCGGAGCGCGTAGGGATTCCGCCGTGTAGTCGGCGAAGGTTTCGTTCGTAGGGACGAAGCAGGAGGAGACGGAAGTGAGCGCCAGAGTGCGTAGAGAGTCCGCCGTGTAGTCGGCGAAGTTTTTGGTCCGTAGGGACGGCTCGAGCTACAGGCAAGAGCGTGGGTTTACTGCTATCGAGCGAAGACGCGGGCAACAGCTGCGTGTGTGAAGCCGACGGATTTCCGGCGAAGAAGCTTGAAGCTTGGAGAGTGGCCATTTGAGGACGCGAGGTTTCCTGGAATAGAAACTTCGAGGGCTGCGGAACGACAACAACGCTGGACTTTGAGTGAGTGATTCTCGGAAGAGTATCATCTCGACTTTGGTTCCAAGAACTTTGGACTGAATAGGTTTTCTATCTCTTTAGTCTTTAAGTGTCTTGGTTGTTCAATGCATGCGATTGCATTGTAGTGCGTATTGTTGTCCGTGTCCGTTGTTTCAAGTGTGGCTGATTGTATTGTGTAGTACGTTGATTGATTGGTTTGATTGGTGACATATTGTATGTAACTATTGTGGAGTGTGCATTCTTGTGTATTGTTTTCGATCTGCCATTAATGAGAATATAATTTTGTTTGTTTATCAACTCTCGGCTCTGACTTGTTCTTTGGACCACAGCCGGCGTCCGCTGGCGCACCAATAAGGACCACTTCTAAATTGTCCACGCTTTCGTGGTGCGGTTCGGGGGGCCGATACTTCGGCTCTTGGAATTAGCCCGGCGATCGCCTCCCTAATAAACGGGACAGGTGTGACAACTAATCAGCTGCTCAGTCGAACACCTTCCACGTTTCCGCGGTTTTATAAAATGTCATGACCATGCCCTCATTTTCACTGTGGTTTGCACCCTCAACATATCCAATGAGAAGTATTAGAATTACTTTTGCTTTGTAGATTTGTAGCGAATGCGGACCGCCCACTTTTGACGCATTCGAAACACGATGCTTAAATAATCTTTCCGCACGCTGGCCGCCCGACTGACCGATCACAATCGACGACCAGGCATTTGGTACGTCGATCGAAACAAGCAAGTTTACAAGACCTCCCGCGCACTCGTGACCGATCGGCGCGTCCTCAATCAGCACGCAATTGTCCCGTTTACCGGCGAGCTCTCCAAGCAGGTTCCTCGCTCAATTAGACGCCGTGGCGAACGAGCGAACGAACGTATACACAGGGCGAGAGAGGAGAACACTGCCTTCCAGCGAAAACAATGTTCGCCAACGGACATTGGCGGGCTATAACAACACGCGCCAGAAGCGCTTGCAACAACAAGCACGCGCCGAGGGAAAACGCGAAAGCGCGCTAATTAGTTCTACAGCCCGTGTACGCGTACACAGCGCGGTGGGGACTTCCGCCGGCCCCGCCATGGCGAAACCACACACATTGCGAGCGGCATCACACGCCCGAGACAATCGACTACTCGTTTTGCCCGAAAGCGATTGGCGCCCTCAGGCGGAGGAAAATGACAAGGTCGCGAGCAGACATAGCAGCGCGAGACCGTGGAGCGAGGACACGCCCGGAGACGGTACACACACACAATGCCCGCGGAGAACGAATAACGTGCACGCGCATGCAGCACATATCAACGCAGGCTTTCCGGGGCGGATGCGCTTGTTTTTCGATTGTGCACGTAGAGCCTTAATTAGTTATGGTTATAGGTGCCTCGCTCACCGGAAACGACGGCACGCGTGCAGATCCCCGCACGGTTCTTAGATAAGTATTACCAGGTAGCACGTGTTCTCGGAACGCGAGAAAAACCTCTTTTTCTGCTTAGAAGTGTGGCAGCTTGGGCTAGTTGGTATGGCATGACGATAGTTATAGCGCGAGAACAAAACGACGACACAGAGACAAAAAAGTAAGGTGTCCTTCTTGTCTCTGAGTCGTCGTTTTGTTCTCGCGCTATAACTATCGTCGTGCCTCTTTTCTGCATTTAGGGGGCCAACGGCACGAGGGGAGGGGGGGGGGGGTAGACGTAACAGTTTCTACAACACTTTTGCTTCCAGGCGGACTGACATGCGATTGCAAGTTATGAGAATGCGCCGGGACTTCCACTTTTTGGGAAATATATCACGTGTGCACATACATGAAGCTGCCCTCGACACGCAGAATAATTGCTGGCAGAGGTCTCAACTTACCTTCGCTGAGTCTTGCGGTGAATTTCTTCCTCCTCGCCCTGTTCCCCGGAACCATCTGTCTCGTCCTGCAAGAAGAAAAAAACAAGACGGGACATGAGTCACGAACTCGGGCGTAATGCATGCACATGCACTCAGAGATACAAGGCGCGCTTCACATATATCGTTCAGCCTGTGCTTCACACAGGCTGAACGATAATCGCTTCAACTCGTCACGTTATACATCTGACTAGTAGCTGGAGAAAGCACATCTTGAACGATATTATCGAACTAATCAAACGTGTATCGGACAAATAATGCGTATGCAGATAGTACGCGCTGGCAGACAAACATTCTGGCTATGATAAACATGGATAAGCTATATTAATACACGTATGTGCAGCAGGCTGGTTCCACAATGTTTGCGAACGACCAGTCATCCCACTCACACGGACAAGAAAGAGGTTTGCAAAAAGATGGAAGCTTAATGTGATGCGACAGTGGTCCAAACAAGGGAGTGCCGCTGAAGCAAACATTTCGAGAAGGGCCATCCTCGGCGAACACGAGGTTTGTAAATAACGTTGGCTTCATTGACATTTGAAATTCCCCCACTTTTGAAAACCACTTCGCACACAGTGTAGTCGTTCGTATATGAAAACCAAAAGTCCCTTCACTTCGGTTATGAGGCCGTGAGGCTAGTGCCCGCGACCGCCCCGTTGCTGGAACGTGCAGTGAGCTCTTCAAATTACGCAAACAATCGTTCTGAATTTCCCCGACAATAACGTCCATTATATACGAACCCTCTCTGAAAGAGTCAACATTGTTAAGGGTAACTCTTCCGCCGATTACGATAATCAATGACGCAAGTTTCCCGCGCACTCCCATTCACACAATCCAAGCGTCGTAACGGCTCCCGGTTTCGAGTCGAGCATTGTCTATCCTACACGAACGGACCGAAGCGCGTACTCTGGCATACGGCGCGACCTACACGAGAGCAGTCGGCCAAGCCAACAGGCGACGCGCGGGGCCACGACGTTTTGCAGCCATTATGCGTCGCAGTAAGTCAAATTGACCGTATTAAACGCCGCAACAGCCGGCCATCTGCCGGGCAAGCCCGACAAAGTGCCGCGATCTTGATTACGGGGCTGAATTACAGGAAACGCTAAACGGCTGTCATTATACGGCCAGATCGTCGAGGCGAAACGAAATGCAACCGCACGGGACGCAAGTTGCAAAACAGCTCGCAAATAAAAAGACGCAACGGCCGAGAAAGTGGAAGCGCGGCCTAAAAGGAAAAACAATAATAATAACGTCAGTCGGCGAGATCTTACAATGAAAAGAGGTCAGCGACCGCCCCGTCTCTGAAAGATTTGTCGGGAGTCAGCTGGCGAAATAAAGCCGGCGAAGCGATCGCATTACTCCGTATCCGTGGCTCAAAAAAAAAAAAAAGAACAAACACACACTAGGAGCAGGCTTTTTTTTTTTTATTCCAAAGAACACCCGCCTTGCTGAATGCTTGCTGTAGGAGTCACAAATGGGGAGTCCGAATGGAGCGGACGCCTAACCGTATAAATGCATACCTTGAATTTCACAGGAAAATGTCCTAAAGTTTCGAAGCTTCATGCGCTATAGTTAAAAGCTTGCCATGTCTATACTCTGAGCTTGGCATTTCACACTTGAAAGCGATGACCCCCCCCCCCCCCCCCGCAACGAACAGCTTGAATACTGTGGGACCCTGTACAGAATTGATTAGATGTAACAGTGTTTTAAGCAATTTGCTGATTGTACAGATGCTTCAATTCACATATGTGTAAGCGTTTTTCGGCATACGCGCGCAAGTTGTACTATTTTTTTATGGAGGTATAACCATTATATTAGCCGGTGAGGCTAACTGTCACTACGGCCATGCTGGGCTCACATTAGAGATTAGATGCAGGCCACGAAGACAGTGTTTGAATGCAGGTGACATGTAAACATGTCCACGTGTCATGACGAGGCTCGTGACTCACGTTAGAGCACAATGCTCGGTCATAACTTAATCAGACGTGCCCTGCTAAAAGACGAGCGCAGCCGTTACGGCATCGTATACACTTCAGTTCTATCAAACAAAATGGTGAGTCACAAACGTGCTACTACGCTATCAAGAGCCGTCCGCTCCAGTTAAAACTCGAAGACACACCACCTCACGTCGTTCCGCGCGCCGTCTTAAGTGCACGAGCGCCGAACAAATGGCCGCCGAAGCGTTTTATAAAGCGAGCGGCCGTCCAAGAACAATGACCGGAAACCCAGAGCGTCCGGGCTGCGGCCGCGCGAGGAGGCATGCCGGCTCAGAAGCCGGCTCAGAAGCACCGCAATACACACCGAACCGGTCCGCGGGACACAGCGCGAAGCCCGCATCGCGCAACACTCGGAAGCCGCCACCGATGTCCAAGTTCGGGTCGTCGTTCTGTCACCCCGTGCAGCAGTCGCTTCTGTCGTTGTGTGTCTCACAGCGTTGTCGCATCATCTTCCTTGCTCCTTGCTATTTCTTTTTTCTCCTCTCTTGCTGCGTCGATAAGTCCTCGGCGTTGACTTGCGAGCTTCCGTTTCGACCGGAGACCGGCTTCCTGCGTGACGCAAGCGCGGTCGTCGAGGCTGACAGCTGCCGCTTGGTCGAACGTAGCACAGGAACGGAGAGCAGCGCCAAGAGCACCCGAGTGGCCTTCCGCACGCAGCGCGAATGTGCGGGAGCCCGGCCATATACGCACAGGACGTCGACCAAGAACGAGAAACGAGAGCGGAGGTGTATAGCGAGAAAACAAGACGATGAAGCGAACCCATTGTTTGTAGCATGATAAGTGGCGGGGTTTTACGCTCCGAAACCAGGATAGGATTACGAGAGACGCCGTATATTGCGGGGCTCCGGCGGTTCCGACCAGCCGGGGTTTTATAACCTGCGCCTAAATCTAAGCACACAGGACTCTTTCACCTTGCCTCCATCGAAAGGCGGCCACCACGGCAGGAATTCGAACCTGCGAGCTTCACCTGAGCAGTCAGGCAATATGCATGACCACTGGATCACCGCGTTGGTTTTGAGATATGTGCACAGTAAGCCATCTAAGCTCGCAAGTACCACGGAGACATACGCAGGAGGACTATACAAAGGCAGTTCTCAAAACTTCTTTGTCGTGCTATACGGGAAACTCCTTCGCCTTTTCGAATTCCGCCATCTTGGCCAGCTGGGCCAATAAGTCTCTCCTGGTCAACCGGAAGTGACCGGATGGCATATGGCGGAATTTGAGGAGACCGTATACAGAATAGGTACTCCTGTGTTGACTCCACAGACGTCGTTCGCTTAGCCATATTGGAACGCTCCATTAAGCATATTGTATTACAGCGATTCAAAAAGCACCTACTGGACGTCCTTGTATATGTAAACGTGAGGTTAAAATGAATGACCGAGAAAATCGCGCACGATATATCTACTCTCAATCTTTTGTTGTTTTTTCTTAATTTGTTGTTTGTTGTTTTTCTCTTATTTATTTATAAATAAATAAATAAATTGCATCATGTTTCCATAGCAATACGAGCTGCGAGTGCCCATGTAGAACTTTAGCAGCACAGATCACGTGTTAATACACCAGTCGTAACCATTCGTGTCAACCTTAACTTTGCTTAGAAGTGTGGAAGTTTGGGCTAGTTGTTATGACATGACGATAGTTATAGCACGAGAACAGAACGACGACACAGAGACAAGAAGGACACGGGCGCTAACTTCCAACTGAGTCTTTTTTGCCTGTTTCTGTGCTTTTTTTTCCTTACTCATGCATTGCTCTGTGTGCCACATGGTTTTTGTCACATGGTTTACCGTCTCCTCTGTACGTTTGCGCGCTCTGCGCAATAAAGTTAGTGGGAAGTTAGCGCTCGTGTCCTTCTTGTCTCTTTGTCGTAGTTCTGTTCTCACGCTATAACTATCGTCTTGACTTTACGTCACGGTAAGAAAGGTTCCACGCGCATCCCATCACGACGTTGGCGTTCAGTAGACCGCATTCGTCTTACACAGCGATGTACTGTATATAGCAATGCTTCGCAAACAAATCGCGCCACCCACGCGCGGCGTCGTACAATGGTCACACCGCACACATACGCAGGCAACACACCTGTGCCTCGCCACACAACGCGCGGTCATTGCGTACAAGCTGGCGCACACGCAACAACACAGGAGCGTGGGCCCACCACACACGGCGCGCGTCCCTCTTACATCGCCCACGGGCACGCGAGGTGCAGGGCGATCGGCGACGCGAGTTATACACACACTTCTCAGGGCCGCCGGTTGCTCGCCAAGGAGCCCAATTACGCGGCTCGTCCAAGACCTCGCGCAGGCTGGACGGGACGCCTCCGTGTGTATACGCATGCACACGTATATACATGCACAAAGTCGGCCCGGCGAGGTCAGGCTCCTCCCCGAGGCTCCGAAAACGGGAGACCGTGGCACTGGAGGCATTCGAGCGCGTTCCCGTTCGCTTCCCGCAGAGCTCAAGCACGCGCGCGCGCTTTCGTCACTAGAGGCATTGGCAAGCTTGATCAGCCGCTAGGCTACGAAGCTGTCGAGGAGCTATGCCAATGGCGGGCGGCCATCTAACAAGAGAATGGATGTGAATGAAGCTGACGCAGCAACACTGAAACGCGAGGGCCGCTAAAGAGTATAGCGGTTATTAATTCATGAACGACGTATACAAAGCTTCTGAAGAGTGAAGTCACTGTCAAGCGGATGATTGAATGTCTAAAGGAGGCACGGAAACGGCGCCAGGTTTGGTGAACCAGGTGCCGACAGCAGTCATGCATTCTGAGTGTCTGTTCTATAGATCTATTTTTTTTATTTCGATATTTGTGTGTGTTCGCGTATTGAAGTACGCCTCACAGATGCAAGAGTGCGTAGTGGACAAAAGGGGGCTCCACAATATCGTTGTCTCTATACAAAGACTACGACGTATACTGGTCTGCTAGAAATGTAGGTAACACAATCCCGAACCAAAGATTGCTCACATAAGTCAACCGGCAAACTATTGGATTGCATACTTTTGACAGAAGACTCAAGCATGCTTTTCTA